CGCCCCCCCAACACCCGGCTTAGAAGGCCATCTCCAGGAGTGTCACGAGGGAACTCAGCCGGGACGACTGTTGCTCCGTTGACCTGGGTCTCGAGGTCGGCCGAGGGAGCGGGGACCACGGGTCCTGCCCGTGCTTGCAGTGCTTTTCCAAGTTTGGTCCTCCAACCGCCTCCAAGGGAAGCATCCTGGGAAAGGATGCTTAGCGAGCAGGTTCCCGGGGACGCGGGGGACGGCACTAACCCCGAGTTCACGGACCTGCGTCTCTAACAGTGACGCCTCGAAACGGCCCCCGCACCCCCCACCCACCCAAGCCCCATGCCCACCCCTACCCCATACCCATCCCTACCTCCCCACCCATGGGGGGGGGGATGCAGCCCCCGGCTCCCCACGCCGCTGAGCGTGCGCAGGCGCGTCCCCGGTCCCGCTCCCCCACCCAGCGCCCACCTGAGGCAGTCGTTGTCTCGAACGAGACGCGCGCTCTCGCCGGGGGGCAGGAGCCCCCCATCCAGGTAAAGGCCCAGGAAGGCCCCAGAACTGAAGCCAAAGCGTTGGCGGACAAGGCTAATGAGATCTGTGACAACTCGGCATCTGCTCAGGTCCACGAGAAGCCAGAAGACCGTGCAGTCCGGGGTGGCTGGCGGCAGGTAGTCGAACTGGAGCCGTAGTCTAACCGTCTCGGAGGCTGCCATCTTCCTCGGCACTCAACGGAAGCCGGGAGGGGCCGCGCCGCGTCGGACGCGCGCTCGGGGCCCCGCCCCCTGGAGCCCGAACGAGCGCCACCTGTTGGTGGCACGAGGCTACTGCAGGCTGCGTGCCTCGGCGAGAACGCAGTGTGGGGGTTCCGTCCCCTGCACCCCGGCAAAGGCCTGGTCTGAATAAAACGCGAGCACTACGGGAGGTTCGACTTGAAACAGACCATTGGAAAAACAAGCGCTCTTCCTAAGCAGTGCCCGTCTACGATGGTTAAGTATATCTCCGAATATTAAAAAATATCCTTTGCTAACTACAAAGTATTTAGTTAGCAAAATGGTCTGTCATAAAGATGGACCATAGACATAAGTACTAGCATGTTATGAGTATTGGGATATTTAAAGAAGCCCATAAATCTGTTTTATTCAAATATTTTAGAGTCCACCATTATCCAGCTTTTAAAATGTAAAAATAAGCCTTTCCTTTTAAAATGTAAAAATAAGCCTTTCCTATTTAGAGCTGGGATAAATAAGTCAAAAATTACACATCATTCCTTTTATTCTTTGAACCGAGCTCTTCCTTCCATTTGTCCCATAATGCTGTTGTGTTGTGCTGGGATGAGATCAACCAGCCCACACTCTACTTTAATTAAGGTAAATAAGGCTTTATGAACTTTAGGTCTTGCAGTGTCTAGAGCAACGATTCTTAACCTGTGGGTCGTGACCCCTTTGGGGGTCAAACGACCCTTTCACAGGGGTCTCATAACAGTAGCAAAATTACAGTTATAAAGTAGCAACGAAAAAAAAAAAACAAGAAGTCTACTTAATAGTAATTTTGTCTATGGGCTGAGTTACTACCTGTCTGCATTTAAGATTATGAAATCAAGTTCCTTGTGTTAAAGGCTGTAGTCACCAGCTTGAAGTAGCTAAGTTTAGGTCATTGGAGTGGTTTTGTTGTAACTCTTTCTGTAACTGCTAACCCGTTGCCATTTATTTTTGTAAAGCCCCCGGTCTTTAATCATTCAGGGTCAGTGTGATGTAAGCAATAGGTGACACTCTGTCCATCAGTTAATAAAACTTCATTCTTCTTGGAAAAAAAATAACAATGAAAATAATTTTATGGTTGGGGGGGCGAGTTAGTTTATTGTGCCAATCTGGCTGATAAACACATGTGGGGTTAATTGAAGGGCAGAGGGATAAATGGCTCGGTGGGCCTCGCCTTTCTAGCTGGGGTCTCTTGCATTCTGACGGTCGGACCAGGGTGCAGCTGTCTTAGCCAGTTCCTTGCTTTAGCTGGCAAGGCTCACTTGCTGCAAGACATTCTTGAGGAGGAGCCACATGGACCTACCCCGGTGCAGCCCTGGGTGCTGGAGCAGCCGTGTGGAGACCCCTGCCAGCGCTGAGATGCTTACACGTTCACTGACTCAGCTTTCCTCCTGCAGTCAGCATCATTGCATCTGTTTTGTGAGATGGAGGACTTTGTGGACTGGTGTCGGACATATGGGTTAATGTTGGACTTGTGGGCTTGGGCAGCACTGGGTTGGGATGTTTTCTTGATGCACACTTTAGTTAAAACTCTCTCTTCTACATGAGTTTCAGTGGAGTTGTTTCTTTGAAGTACCCAGACTCAAACAGGGGGTCACCACAACATGAGGAACTGTATTAAAGGGTTGCAGAATGAGGAAGGTTGAGAACCACTGCTCTAGAGCCTAATTCTCCCAAAACCCAGAGTGCTTAAAATGGGAGCTTTTCATACCAGGGAGTAAACAAGATATAGGAAGCAGGGTGGCATTGCTTTGTATAGAGAAAAGGGGAACTTGGGTACAAAGGCATAGCAGTGGTCCTCAAACTTTTTAAACAGGGGACCAGTTCACTGTCCCTCAGACCTGTTGGAGGGCTGGACTACAGTTTAAAAAAAAACTATGAACAAATTCATATGCACACTACACATATCTTATTTTAAAGTAAAAAACCAAACGGGGCAAAAACATCCAGCAGGCCTGATAAATGTCCTTGGCGGGCCCGCATGTGGCCCGCAGGCCGTAGTTTGAGGACCCCTGGTACGGGGCAGGTGGCGACTCAATGTACATGGGTGTGGAGGCAAGGGGAACTTAGAGCAGAGGCCTCAGAAGTTTAAAAATACATGACACCGTTCAGCAGTTACAGAACACGGCAGTGACCAGAGGAATTACAGGATTTGCACATTGGCCATACTTGGGTCAGTACAAATGGCTATCCTTAGGCTAATTAATCTAATGGTCCCATTGTTAAATGACTACTCTAGACCGACTACTTCACCATGGTTCCATTGGGGTTCATTGTTATTGTTGTTAGAGACCAGGGAGTCGATTCCAATCCATAGCAACCCCGTGCACAGCAGAATGAAGCCCAGCCAGCTCCTGTACCATCTCTCACAAATGGTCCTCTGCCTGCGCCCATTGTTGCAGCCACTGTGTTAACCCGTCTCATGGAGGGCCTTCCTCTCTTTCATTGCTCCTTACTTTGCCCAGCATGATGCCCTGCTCCAGGACTGGTTTCTCCTGACAAGTCCTAAAGACATGAGATGAAGTCTCACCATCCCGGCCTCTTTCAGGAATATTCCGCTGTCCTTCAAAGGCGGCATGGTTGGTTCTTTTGGCAGTGCATGCTACTTTCAGTGTTCTTCAAGAGCACCCTCATGCCAGCGCACCCATTCTCTGTCTTCCTTATTCAATACGCGACATTCCAACGGATATGACATGGTTGAAGATACCCTGGCTTGGGTCAGGCACACCTTTAATCCTCAAAGTAACCTCCTTGCTTTTCAACACTTTACAAAGGTCTCCGGTAGCAGATGAACCCAATGCTACATGTCATTTGATCTCTTGACTGCTACTTCCATGAGCATTCATGTGGATTCAAGCAAGACAAAAATCCTTGGCAACTTCAATCTTTTCTCCATTTATTATATTAGCTTTGGGAGCAGTTGTGAGGAGTTGGGTGTTCTTTGCATTGAGTTGTAATCCACACCGAAGGCTGCACTCCTTGACCTTCATCAGCAGGTGCTTCACATCCTCCTCACTTTGAGCAAGCAGAGTTGAATCATCTGTCGATCGTACGTTGTTTATAAACCTTCCTCCAATCCAGATGCCTGCTTCTTCTTCATATAAGCCAGATTCTTTGATGATTTGCTCAGCATACAGATTGAATAAGTATGGTGAGAGGATATAACCCCAACACACACCTTTCCTGACTTTATTTAATTTTTTATGTCTAAGAAAGACCTTTATATCAAGAAGTAATTGTATATCAGGAAAACATTCCATCCCAGGCCAACTCAAGTCCATAAATCCAATACTAGTCCATACGTCTGCTACTAGTCCATACGTCTGCTACTAGTCCATACGTCTGCTACTAGTCCATACGTCCCTCTTCAGATTCATGCAGCCACATGCAGTGATGCAGAGTGCAGGAAGCTCACAGGCTGGTGGGTGCAGAGTTGTGTGCATACAAAGGTGGTGGCCACGTCACAGGGCTCCTGTAGGATTCATCAGGGAAGTGAAGGGGGGGCGGTAGCTCTTACAGATACTGTAACATTCCATAGTTCAGTCCCAGCAAGCAGTACTGTACACTTGTTGCCACAATCAGTTTCAAAACATTCTCCTTCTTTTTCACCTCCTTGATACCTGCTCCCCTTTGTCTTCTCCCTCCCCTCTTATCCCCCAACCTTTATTATTGTTGATATATATCTATAGATGCCATAGCTTACACTATCTAATATATCCATTCACCTACAACTCTGTTGTTCGCTTCCCCTGCGTGGCGTTACGCAGTCATCATTGCTATCGGCTTCCCTCCCTTCCCATACCTTCAGGAAACCGTTGACTCTTGTTACTTTTCCTGGGGGGGTTATCAGTGCATCTTGATTGCATGCTTGATGAATTTCTGACTGAAGATGTTGGTAGAATTCTTCAAGTTCTTCATCGTTAGCTTCTGTGGTTGGGACACATGTTAAATACTTAAATTCTCCTTGCAAAACAATACTATTTTGAAGATTAAAAATACCAGGCGTCAGAAAGGTTAGATATCTTCTCCAGAGTTACTAGACAAATAAGTGATTATAATCTGGTAGATTACTCATTGAGCTGCTAACCAGAAAGTCAACAGTTTGAACCCACCAGCGGCTCCACAGGAAAAAGATGAGGCTGTCTATTCCTGTAGAGAGGTAAAGACTTGGAAACCTAAAGCGACAGTTCTAGTCTGGTCCTATAGGGTCACTCTGAGTCAGAATTGATATTATATATATTTTCTTAAGTGGTTGAAACCTGGCAGTCGACGAGCCCAGTGGCAATTCGACTCATGGGAAGCCTGTGGAACAGGGAAGAACTGCTCCTTAGGGCTTCCAAGAC